TTCAGGTTCAGATGGACTTCAGGCGGATCTCATTCAGATCGAGTCAAATCATTAGCAGATAAAATTCAGGTCGGATCTCTATCAGATACGGATTGAGTTCAAATCAGGTTAATTTTTTTTTGGATTAATTATTTCCGTCTTTCGCGAACGTTGAATTGCAATTTGTAATTGTATATGATTTATAGTAAATTACTAAGAATATAAATAATCATGGTTCAATTTTATGAAAAATATAAATTTAAGAATTAAATTGAACAAATATGAAATTACAAATAAAAATTTAAATAAATTAAACAACACACATTGATGAGGGATCAAATCAAAATAATTTTAAATTGTGAGGTTGAAATTAATACAAAAAAGTACTAAAGTATACCCATTTAAAAATTTATGGGCCAATTTAAAAATAGAATTAAGTAAAAAGTATGGATCAATTTCAGATGCAAATAAAATTTGGAGGACTAAATTGAACAAATATGAAATTACAAATAAAAATATAAATAAATTAAACGACACAAAAGGGATCAAATCGAAGTAATTTTAAATTGTGATGTTTAAATTAATACAAAAAAGTACTAAATTATACCCATTTAAAAAGTTATGGGCCAATTAAAAAATAGAAATAAGTAATAAGTATGGGTCAATTTCAGATGCAAATAAAAATTGAAGGACTAAATTGAATAAATATGAAATTAAAAATAAAAATTTAAATAAATTAAACAAGACTAAAGGGATCGGATCGAAATAATTTTAAATTGTGATGTTGAAATTAATACAAAAAAGTACTAAATTATACTCATTTAAAAAGTTATGGGCCAATTTAAAAATAGAAATAAGTAATAAGTATGGGTCAATTTCAGATGCAAATAAAGATTAGAGGACTAAATTAAACAAATATGAAATTACAAATAAAAATTTAAATAAATTAAACAACACAAGGGATATTTATGGTTTAAGGTTTAGGTATTATGGTTTAAGGTTTAAGGTTTAGGATTTAGGGTGTTATTTATATTTATATTTATATTTATGTTTATATTTATATAAACTACATACTATAATTTATATTTATATACTATATTTATATACTATTTATATAAACTATAGTTTATATTTATATACTATATATATGAACTATAGTTTACATATGAACTATATATATAAACTATATAAACTATATAGTTTACATATGAACTATATATATACTAAAGTTGATATTTATATATGAACTATAGTTTACATATAAACTATATGGTTTATATACTAACTATAGTTTACATATAAAATATAGTTGATATTTACATATGAACTATAGTTTACATATGAACTATATACATAAACTATATAGTTTACATATGACCTATATATATATATATATATACTATAGTTGATATTTATATACTATATAATTTACATATGACCTATATATATATATAATATAGTTTATATTTATATACTGTATATTATATATATAAACTATATGTACTATATAGTATAATTTACATATGAATTATATATAAAACCATATAAACTATATACTATAGTTGATATTTATATACTATATAAAATAATTTATACTATATTATATATAAACTGTATATTATATAGTCCATTTTTTTAACTTTCTTCTATTTGTTTTATGAGTAAATGGTGGGAACCAAAGGATTTAGCATGGTCTAAATGAGACTGTTTAGGTAATTGGTGGTATAATGTTGGGCTACGAATTGCAATGTCATTGAATTGAGATTTTGGTTAGGCGTAAGTGGAACTTTACTTTCAAGTTTTGTTTGCATGTTTCGATTTTTTATGAGCTTACATAAAAGGCTTTTTTTTCATGATTGAAACTTGGAAGTTGGAATTTGCTGGTAGTTCTGTTCTTGAGAAAGATTAAGCTTTGTGGGAGTTGGCAAATGTAATTATATTTCCTTGTGTTTGAAGGAGAAACTTTTTTGAGCTGTAAAGTAATTTTAGATAAAGTTAACTTTCCTTGGTGTGATCTCCAAGTTAATGGAATATGCAGTCTGATTCCCAATTGAAAGATGGGAAGACACCATTGAATGTTGCTTGGACTTAAGTTTCAGGCTTGGATACGTGTAACATGGATGCTTTCTATTTTTCTGAAGTCTCTTGTTACATTTGGAAGGTTTGAATTCCATATAAATCCACTTTCTGAGTTGGAATGCATCCAAATGGGTGCTTGTGGAAAGTGAAGATTCACAAAATAACCTTAAGGTGAATCCTTTACTTTGAGTCTTCTACAATTTATTTCTAGTTTGTGGGATCTATTTATTAACTCCTACAATTCACAACATGTCAGTACCGCTATATAGTTGGCCATATTGCTGGTAAGAGCTAGGGTGTTTACCTCATTACATCAACATCAATATGGTTAACGAGTCCTCGTTGTAAAGGTAATCTAAATTGTTTTTTTATGTTAATGTTATTAATATTTCAATTTATTTATTAATCATTTTAAATTTTCTTTTTAATTTTTAGGGTGTTTAAAGGTCCCTGAAATCATTCGAATTAGAGATTCGAATAGGAGATTTTTTTCTTTATTCCCTTCAAAGGTAACCTAATAATATTTTATATTTATTATGTTTATTTAATAAAACTTTCAAATTTTTTATTAATATGTTGGCAGCATTTAGGTATATGCTCGATGATTATATTCATAGTAGTAGCTAGCATTGTAAACATTAGCTATAAGATTTGAGAGCATTTATTTCAACATACATTTATTTTGTTTAGTTGATTTTATTGTATTTTTAGTGATTTCAAGTGTAATAAAATTACATTCATTTATAAATATTTATTTAGTATTTGTAATGTTATTCAAGTTTTTAATATTTAATAAGTCTATTTCAATTAATATATTTTGATTTTAAAATATCAAGTTAAGTTTACTTAAATTATTATTCAATTTTCACATTAAAAATAAATTAGATTTATGAATATTTTAACTTAGTTAATATAATTTAATAAAATCAGGTTTAATAAGATAATATTTAAATTTAATTTAGTGATTTTAAAATAAAATTTATAATATAAGAAATAATAAGAAATTTATGAATTTGAATTAACATAAAATCAAATTTATAATAAACAAATTATAATTAATATAAAATTAAATTTAAAAAAATAATCATATTGATTTGATTATCATAATAATTTATGATAAAATTTCAAAGAGTAATCATATTAATTTAATTATCATAATAATTTAATTATCATAAGTTTATTATAAATTTAAAATAACATAATTATATTAATTGTAACTTCACTTATAAGTCAGGATAATATCATATCACTTTAACAACATGTCGTATCATTTACAGGTTGAGTCAATTACAGGTCAGATTCATAACATGTCAGGTTGAAAACAAGTCAGGTAATACCAGTTATTTACCAGGTTGGGTTCAGGTTCATATTAGTCGGATGCAGTTCGGGTCCGGGTATCATATTTTCGGTTCAATTCGGGTTCAGGTCATTCTCAGGTCAGATGCAGGTCGGGTTCAGATCCATAATTTTCAGGTCCAACTCGGGTTTAGGTCAACACCAGTTCCGACTCACGTCGGTTTCGGATCGTCACAGCGCAGGTCAAAAACAATTTTAACTCGAGTCGGTTTCAGTCAGTTTACAGGTCGGGTCAGTTTTTTACACCCCTAGTTGTCCCCTCCAACTCTTAGCGATGTTACTAGCGTGTGTTTTAACATGTTTGGTGTGTGAAAATCGACTAAAGATTTTGTGTTTGTCAAATTTCTTTTTCCTATTAAGGAGTTGGACCTTTATTTTATAAATCCGGGATAAATACAATGTGATATTTATTTAAATACTCTTAACCTTTTGACAATGAAGGCTCATACTTCTGTATATACGATGATAGAATCTAAGGCCTTTTTGTCATGGGTGTTTGCAATTTTTTTCTCACTCACTTGGTAACGAATGAGAGTGGTATGTTCGATCTTCCAAGTGATATTCTATTAATGATTTGAAGTTTTTCGCTCAAAGTTTAGTACACAGTTTCTTAAGACTTCATCCCAACTTGTTAGGTATTTTGTATAGCTACTAAGAGTAGGTATATATTTGTCACTGCCTCCATGTATGATTATGATTTATCGACATATCATTGATATCATCTATATGGCCTCCACATACATGTACTGGAGAGTTGTAAAGGTGTCTACTGTGATTTTGGACTAAGAAAGTGTGTTCATGATTTGAATTTTTTGTCATAAATGTTCATTGACCGATATTATGGGCACTCAAATGATGTTGGTATGATATTGTGTATGGTCCACATATTGCATATTGTAATCCTGAATGTAAGCAATTGTCTCGAGGTTATAGGTTGAATTAGTTTCTTTTCCTTATCATTTTGTGTTATTCTATGCTTTCAATATTAACGTATTTACCAAAATGTAATTGATTGGCTCTGCCATTGTATTCATTGTTACGTTTTAATAGAGTTGTGATACGTCTAAGTGATATTTCAAGGGGTTTAGATTGAGGTTCTTAGGGGTGTGTACAACTCAATTCGACTCGAAAAACAGATTTTTTTACTCGATTCGACTCTAAAAAACTAGACTCAAATTGACTTCGAGTTGCAATTATATGGACTCATCTCGACTAAAAAAAAATTCAAGTTCAAATCTAGTTGTAAAATATAACTCGAAATTTAGTAATTAGCACTACAAGAAAATATACCTTTAATGACACAATCTAATTTATGACTTGCAAATAATGTGTGTCATAAAAAAATGTCATGTTTCTTAAAATCTGAACGATTTATGACTTACAATAATGTGTGTCATATTTAATAGTCATAATCTAAAAAATTTAGCAAAAACACGGAGTACACTTTTCATTGTGTGTCATCTATAAAAGTTGTCTTTTAATTTCCCCCATAATTTAACTTACGCATGCTTTCCCGCTTTCTCAACGCCCCTCCCCTCTTTCCCAAAAAAACCTTAATCCCCAAAACCAGCAATAGGGGATAAACAATGGGAATCAAAGGTCTGCTTAGATTCATGAAACCTTTCATTGAACCCATTCACATCAAGAAATACGCTGGTAAGCGGGGATTTCCTCAAATCCTTTTTTTCTTCTTTTATTTCCATTTTGTCCTCCCCAACATATATGCTATTTTGAAAGTTTTGCAGGTGGGTATTGATGCTTATTCATGGTTACATAAAGGAGGTATTTTTGTTTCAGTTGTATGTGTATCTTCTCTCCTGAAGGTCGATATGTGTATTTTAACTTTATTATTCTGGAATCTGGAAGAACTTTATTATTGTTATTATTTGTTTTTAAATTTTGAGTATGCGTTTAAGGCAGTGAAAGCATCTGGGATCACATCCATTGGTGTTCGAGGAAAAGATTCCGTTGGTGTTGTTACCCAGAAGAAAGTTCCCGTTCGTACTCTCCCATTTACATTGCCTTTACTTCTTTATTTTTGGGATTAAAGTGATTTTAAGGTTTTCTTCGATTTGGGTATTTAATTTTGAATAATGCTATGCAGGACAAGCTATTGGATCAGACTAGTGTCACTCATCTTTTCCCTATTGCCAAGTTCCTTGGATTATTGACTACTGGCATGACAAGTTTTTTTTTTTTTGCTAAATACCATTTTTTATTTTGGTAAATTTTTTCTTAGATATTATTTGTTCGAATTGCCAAGATCTTTGTTTTGTTGATTAGTGAATCAAGGTTTTGGGGTTGTAAGGGATTCTGGGCTATAATGATATATCTCTTTTCACACTGATGATAATTGGCATTTCCACTCACTGATGATAATTGGCATTTCCACTCTTCAGCTGATGCAAGGACCTTGGTCCAACAAGCAAGGAATGAAACAGCTGAGTTTCGGTTCAGATATGGATATGAGATTCATGTGGATGTATTGTCCAAATGGTATAGTTACTTGTATTATATTCTCTTGAACTTGACAATAATTAGTTGTTTTCAAAATTTGGATTTTGTATTTTCTGTATATCTCATCTGGATAATGTTTGATCAAGCTTAATGACTTGAAGAGATCAGTCATTTGGATACACACTGGATATAAATCTATGCGCTTTTACTTTTGCTAGTAGATATTTGAAAAATATTAAGATCCTGCTCGTTTTAACATCAAAGTTGAAGCGACTTTATCATTCTTATTTACTGGTTCATGGGTATAGTCTTGGTTTCAAAATTAATACACACGACCAACTACATTTTAACTATTATTTTGAATTCCTTTGAAAATTGATCTATCTTTGATGTTTGGTTCTCGTCCATTTTGATGATCATACATTTAATTTAGCCTCTCATGCTTTATTGGTATAGGATTGCAGACAAATCACAGGTTTATACTCAACATGCTTATATGAGGCCTCTTGGAGTTGGTAAACCTATGATTTCTTCAACATCCTACAATTTTGTTTTAAAAGTTTTTCTATCTTTATTTTTTCCATGGGAGATTTGCAACTTTTGAGTTGTTTCTCTAATCCAAATGATGTTGTTTCTCTAATATAATTACATACGTAATTACGTATAACTGCAGTAATTGTGTAAAATGAAATTATTCTTGTTTACCCTCTTTTTGAACTGTGGCTGATAAACATCTCAAGTATCAAATCCGTTGTTCTTTTCTTGAGGTAGAGTTAATTGAATTATTTTGATTCTTAGTTTTGACATAATTGGACTGCTTAGCGTTGTACTATTCTTGTTCCTTATCACTTCATTTTCAATTTTCTTTTGCAGATATACAATGAGCAAATAACAAATTTATTGGATCCAAATCAAAGAAACCTGCAGGTAGAATGGATTGTTATTTAACTTTTCAGTTTCCATTTTTTACTGGACGAAAAAATTGGGTTTTCTTATACTGTTCTATCATTTTCATCGAGATAAGAAAAGATGTAAAAATAACTTTTCAGTTGAGAAGATGTCTTCTGAAACTACTAATTCCAATGCTGCAAGCAACAAGGAGGTACCAGTTATAGCCCTAAAATGCTTTATGTATAATTAAGTTGTCAGCCTTTCCATTGTTACTTGATGCTTTGGTTAAGCTTGTACATTAGATTTACATCCCTTTTACTTGTTTCAGGATGGGGTTAATGATCTTCATGATTTGGAGAGTTCACTTGCTTCATTTCCTATTAAGCCACTTCAGGCACTCAATTATGGCTTTTTTATGCTTGCATGATCTTACTATTTAAACAATTCATTATTATAACATAATTAAGATGACATTTTTATTAGCATTTGTCTCATTCAAGGACCTCCAAGTCGTAATTATCTCAAATAGAAAGCAGTTTCTTGTCACAATTGTCATTTAATTTTAAAATTATATGCTTTTTGCCATATCCTTCTCATATAGTTTAAGAACATATGTGTTATCTATTAGACAAAAACTATTTTTTCTGAAAAGGGAAGGTTGTCACTGTAATTGTTTTTGGGGTAATTAGTTTCCTTTTTTGCAACTTTTAATTGCTGCAAAGGCTGTTTTGACATTGGTGAAGGTGAGGGTGCAAATGGTCCAAATTGGAAAGGTGTTATGCCATTGGAAAGTGATACAAAGTCATCAAGACTCATGGACCAGACTCATGGACCAAGATGCTGGAAGACATGAGGGTGAGAATTCCAGGCAAAGTGGCTCTTTCACACGTCAGGTTATTCCAGAGCTTAAAAAATACTTGAGTGGTACACTAATACCTGATAGTGCCTTTTCTCCTAACAAGGTTACTGGAGATGGGGACAGGTAAGCTTTCTTCTAAGTGAAGTTGCCTGAACCCTAAACTATTATCACCAAACATGCATTGCTTGAAATGACTTTTTGTGAAATATAGGATGTTCTTTCCCCATTATCATGCTCTAGATATGATGAGTTTCTGGATTATGTGAATTGCAAGTCTAGAGGAATCCTAGATGTATAATGTGGTACACTGGGACTTTTCTACTTGGATATTGTTCCTATATTCTGTAGTTAAAAGGAACAATTGTCTGTCACCATTACCATTAATTTTAATGGCAAAGGTTTGTATGCCAATTTATATTCAATTTTATCAACTTTGTTTTGCAGGGACTTCCCACAGCCTAAATTTCCATCTGAACGCAACTACAGTGGTCCATTGTACCGCCAGAGGAGAGAAGCAAATAACACATCTGGTATAGCCTGGTTTTATTACCTTTCATTTCTGCTTAGAAGGGATGCTACTTATTTGTAGGCAAATGAACTCTGTTTTGTTATCTTTGCTTCTTGCATATCAGAGGATGTTTCAGAAGGAGCAGTTGTTCAGCGGGGACGATTTAAGGTGACTTCAGCCGATCTCAGTCCCAAGGTACATTTGCTATGTATTGAAACTTTTACCTTTTTTATGTAAAGAAACTTTGCAGCAGATTGGTTACAATCTTCTACTATTATTATGCTAATAGCCTATAACATGCAAATTTGTACTAATAAACTATCTGTACTTGAAATATACTTCACTTTAAATAAGTATAAATTATATATTTATTTTATATTTTTTATTTAGGTTGACGATGTGAAGGAAAAATACATGGATGATGACATTGATGATATTCACAAAGAATGGGTATCTTATGTGGCAAACTTTATTATGCCGTGATATTTTGTATCGATATATGATTACAATATTTTTGATAACTTAATGTTAATATATTATATGCAAATAGATTGCTTATATATAATATGCTATATATATTTAGTATTATGAGGCATTAAATGTGATTTAGTTTGATTATTTTTCAATCTACAATATATATATATATATATATATATATATATATATATATATATATATATATATATATAATTTACGACATACAATCACGACACACGAATGTGTGTCATCTTTTTTATTGACGTGTGCTTCAATGACACGCAATGTAAGTCATAAATGCGTGTCATAAATTTATGACAAACAAATGTGTGTCGTCTTCACGTGTCATGTGAGATTTATGTCGGTGGCTTCAACGACGCGTATTTGTGTGTCGTGTGTCATCTGCACCCACAGATGGCGCACAATGCGCGTCATTAAAGGGGTTTTTTCTAGTAGTGTAGTAGATTTATTTTTAAGTTTGAGTTGAGTATTTGATTTTTGTATGATATATGTATATCATATATATATAATATGAAGAAATATATTTTTATTATATATATGGTTATAGAACGTCACTTAATTTGGAATCAAATAATATTATAAATATTTACAATTAAATTTAAACATAAACTCGAAAAATTGACTCAATTCGATTCGACTCGAATATTTTATAAACTCGAATCTACTTGAAAAATTTTCAAGTCAACTCTTAATTGTAAGATAAGACTTGTCAACTCGGATAAATTGAAAATTTTTTACTCGACTCGACTCGATCGAACGCTCACCCTAGAGGCAGTAAGCGCATACGACATGGGAGTACCTTATACCTAACCATGTCTAGAGTAGCTTTTTCTCCACCCCATTTATTTGATTGGCTTCAATCTAACCTTCCTAATAATGCAGGTTTAAACCGGGTTGACTGTAGCTGGAGACAGCTGGGATACTTATATGGAGATTATAGAAGCAACGTAATAACTTTGTTTTCAATGGACAGATCTGATAGACTATGGAAATTATCCAATCGGCAAGAGTGTGGGCACAGACGATCCAGAGCATTCAGGGTGAACCCCAACGAATCCAGGCTAATCGTAACATGAGATATAGATGGGCACCACCTAGAGATGGAGCTATTAAGCTAAACATCGACGGGGCCAATGGCGTCGCTGACCCATTGGCTCATCTAAGGCATAATGACAAACAGATCTTTGTATCCCGCCGACTCCCCCCGAAGGAGTGAGGAATTTGCTCACTCCGAACATTAATGAGTAAAGAGCTGGTCTAAGCAATACTTTCGCAGCGATATTCATTGTAACCAAAAAAAAAGAAGATAGAGGCTATAACATTTTTGTTCCTATAGCGCAGGTTTATTATGTGCTTGATGTATTTAGTAGTTATAACTTTTATATGCTCTCAATTTTTTTTTATTAATCTAGGGTAAGTACAACTCAATATTTGTTCAAAGAACACTCTCAATCATTTAACATTGAACATTCACACTTCTTATATTCTTGGTACTCAAACTCGGGACCTCAACAAATAACAACAATTCCTTTAACACTGAGGTTACTTAATAAATAGTATATATAGAGGATAGTTTGATAAGGTAATCATATCAAAATTTAAAAAGTAATGTAACTTCTTAAAATCCGAATTAATAAAAATAAATAGTCAGATTAAATTATGGAAAAATGATTTTCTTAAATATAATTTTTAGATATTCTCTAAATATTTTTAATAAAGAAGATTTGAACTTAATGATGTTTAAAGTGAATTTTGTGAAATTACAAAATATTTTGAAGACATTATTAATTTTATTTATAAAGTTAAAAAAATAAATTGGATGAGGGTTAAATTTTGTAAACTATCAAAGACAATTTTATCATTTATCTAAAAGTGAAAGACATGCTTAATAGAAAAATTAAATCACATGAAGTCAACGAATGAGGTGAATTTATTAGCAATTCACAAATGAAAAATTGGCAATGTAACCCCTAAACTAGGCTCAGATGTTATGCCCATGTCTAGGTGATTACGTATCATATTCAGAAATTCTTTTTATATTTAAAACAATGTTGAAATCTATATTTCATTAATATATGAAATTTATCCATAATAAAGATTTATATGATAAACATATATGAACACATAATTTTAGAAAACTATATAAATCATATACATATCAAAATACCAAAGAAAACGTATAATACATTTACGGAACAAAATATCGGTAATACAGATATATCCATAATGATAGAAAAATACATGTCACTAAATACAACTAAAAACATATAGAGATATACGGTCATACAAAAGTAAAAGTAGTTGATCTCCCCTGATGCCAAATTTGCTAGTTTACGGTCTGCTGTTATCTAAAAAGAGTAAAATTTACAAAATTAGCTAAAAAGCCTAGTGTACTCCATACAGTGTATAAAAAACATACTAATAAAATATTTCAGTAAAATCATTTTATCAAACATGTTTTAAAAATATGAACACTGCCCCTATCCGTCAAGTCCAAAATGTGTAGGTTCCCCAGAACCATACACCCACCGTCAAGTCCAGTAAGACCCTGAGCACAAATCCGAGGAGCCAGTAAGGCCATGAGAACAAAGCCGAGGAGCCTCCAGGTATACTTCCTTCAAGATTATTTCCCCAATGACAGTAATAAACATGTATGTATTCGAGTGAAAATGGTGATTAATCCTTTAAACATGAAAATGTTTCATGCTTGAAAACCATATACATAAATTACGAAAACCATAAATCAAATCAGTAATATCCGATAAATCAGATGTCGAGTAACCAGTATTCATAAATCAGGTATCATGTCGTAACAATATTCAAAATTATCACCAATTTGAAACAATTTAGATGATAGTTTAAAACAGTAAGATAACACCGTCAGAAAACACACCTGTAACAATCTGAGTAACCGGATAGGGAAGCCTATTACTGAGTCTGTCAATCACGCTCTGCTGAAACGTTAGATCCTACGAATCGGAAAAATCCATATTGGAATCCTAATATGAATAATCTTAACCTTTATTTAAATAATTTACAGAAACCTACGGGTAATTCTTGTAGTACGCGGTTCGGGTTGATCTGACGAACAGACAGCAAGAACCTAACTGATCCTCGCTCAGGTGAAACACGAGTACCTTAATAAAATATCTTACTGGATGAATTACATAACCATATCTCAAATAAATAATAAAAAATGCTAAAAATACTAAGCATTTTTGTTAATGAGCTCGATTCAGGGATTTCGGGTCAGAATTTGGCAAAACGAACTTCGGGATCAGATTCAGGACGTTGAAAATCATTAAATATGACTTTTCGATAATTTTGACTCTTTGGTCAAAGTCAACATGTTTAAATGACGATTTGGAGGATTTCATATTCGAATTTGGAAAAACGGACTTCGGATACGGACTCAGGACGTCGAAAAACATAAAATATGATTTTTCAAAAAATTTGACTTTTTGGTTAAAGTCAACAGTCAACGTCAACGGTCGATCAACAGTAAACGAGTCGGGTCAATAGTTCGGGTCAGGTCGGGTCGGGTCAGGTCGGACTGGGTCGGGTCAAACCGGTTCAAGAAACTGCCCACACGCGCCAGACGAAACCCACGTGCAGTGGCGGCGCATGTGGGCACGTGCGGTGGCCTACGGCTGCCTAAAAATCACGAAAAAATTTCCTAAAATTATTTTAAGGGATTTTGAGACACTTACCAAGCTCGGTTCAAAATTTTGAACGGCAGAGAGCTCGATTTTAACACGTCAGAAACTTTTACTGCTTCACATCCCTCACGCGCCGGCGACGACGGAGACAAGGAGGACACCGGCAGACTCAAAATGACACAAGGAACACGATGGTGTGGGAGGTGTAAAAAACGGAGCAACGATCGACGATGAATTTAAGATTTTTCCGGCGGTGGTGCTAAAATTTTTTTGAAACTTTGAATCAAAATTCACGGCGTTTGACAGTGTTTCACTTCAATTGGTTTACGTGTTTTTTTTCATCGGTCGAAGATGAACACGATGGTGGTTTCAAATTGACGATCGGTGGCCGGACGGCGTCTGGATTGGGTTTGGAAGTAGGGTGCTGGAGGAGGTAATTTGAGCAATTGGTTTCTGTTTTACAGAACCAATTGCACACTTATATAACCAATATTCTACTGACACTACAAGGGTAAATTCAGGGCTTGATCCCTGAATTTCCTTCACTTCTAAAATGACCTACAAGTTTTGAAAACTTTTAATTTAATCCCTAAATTTCACCAAATTACTTAATCATAAATATATATAATTTTTTCCGGATTGTTACAATTCTCTCCCTCTACAAGAAATTTCATCCTCGAAATTTACCTTATGGTAATAGATAAGGAAACTGAGCCTCCATTGACTCCAATGTCTCCCAAGTAGCTTCTGAGGGGCCATGGTTACTCCACTTAACTTTGACCATTGGAATACTCTATTCCGAAGAACTCGCTCACCCCTTTCTAAAATTTGAACAAGCTCATCCTCATATGACAAATCAGGTCTCAGCTCTACCTCCTCAACCTGAATGATGTGACCTGGATCTGGACGATATCGCCTTAACATAGATACATGAAAAACATCATGAATACGACTGAGCTGGGGAGGCAACTCAAGCTAATAAGAAACAGGTCCGACTTTCTTTAGAATATGATACGACCTAATAAATCTCGGACTCAGTTTACCCTTATGTCCAAATCTCAATACTTCCTTCCATGGAGATACCTTGAGAAAAACCTAATCTCTAACCTCAAACTTGATATCCTTCAATCGCTTATCTGCGTATGATTTCTTCCTATCAAATGCCTCTCTTAAGAGATCACAGATTAATCTGACAGTATCTTCAGTCTCTCGAACCCAGTCTGGTCCCAAAGTTTTTCTATCATGTAACTCTGTCCAACATATAGGAGTACGACATCTACGTCCATACAAAGCCTCGTACCGTGCCATGCGAATACTTTCCTGGTAACTATTATTATAAGCAAACTCGGCTAATGACAAGAAATCTTCCCAACTACCCCAAAAATCAATCACACAACCCCGTAACATATCCTTCAACACCTGAATAACTCGCTCAGACTGGCCATCAGTTTATGGGTGGAATGTTGTACTGAAATTCAAACGAGTACCCAGAGCCTCATGCAAAGCCTTCCAAAACCTAGAAGTAAATCTCGGATCTCAGTCAGATATGATAGACAACAAAATATAATGAAGTCTAACGATATCAGAAATGTACAATCTAGCTAGTTTGTCCAAAGAATAATTAACTTGAACAGGGATAAAGTGAGCTGACTTGGTGAGTCAATCGACAATCACCCAAACAGAATCCTTTTTGGAAGGAGTAAGAGGAAGACCAGTAATGAAGTCCATCGTAATACGCTCTCATTTCCACTCAGGAATCTTAATTGACTGCAATAATCCAGATGAATGTTGGTGCCCTGCCTTAACCTGTTGACAAGTTAAACACCTCACCACAAAATTTGAAATATTCTTTTTCATACCAGTCCAAAAGTAGTGCTCTTTGAGATTATTGTACATTTTGTCCCCGCCAGGATGCATAGCATAAGGCCTCCTGAAGAATAACCCATCTCAACTCATCATCTTTAGGGACACAATAATGACCGTGAAAGCATAAAATACCATCCTGATCCAAAGTATAATTTGAACTCGATCCCTGCTCAACTTGTTCAATAATAGGAAGCAATGAGCTATCAAGGAGCTATTTGGCCTTAGTCTTCTCGGCCAAAGTGGGTTCTTGTAAATCTGCTAACATACTATTGTCATCAAATAAAATCAAGTTGGCGAATATGGCTATGAGATCTGATATCGCCTTACGGCTCAAGGCGTCGACCACCACATTAGCCTTCACTATATGATACTCTATCTCACAATCATAGTCTTTTAGAAGTTCCAACCAGCGACACTGTCTTAAATTCAATTCTTTCTGAGTAAGCAAATACTTCAGACTCTTATGATCGGTATAAATATAACACTTTTCTCCGTAGAGGTAGTGTCTCCAAATCTTTAAAGCAAAAACCACGGCAGCTAACTCCAGATCGTTGGTAGGATAATTACACTCACGTGGCTTTAACTGATGTGATGCATAAGCGACAACCTTCCCATCTTGCATCAAAACACATCCTAATCCAGAGTGAGGAGCATAACTGTAGACAGATAAATCTTTCCCATATTCAGGCTG